ATGCTAGTCAGTTTTCTCTCTTCTGCTCATCTCTAACAGTTTTATTGCCTCTCTCTGATTTCCCCTTTCCTTATGCTGTGGCTGTTGTCAAACAATATAAATAAGCTCAGTAGTCCAGAGTGTATCACTTAGCTGTGTAATGTGATTCTCTTACTTCTAATATCCCGTTCCTTATGTATCCTGATTGCCTGGGAGTCATGTATGGGCCTCTTTTTTTTTCTCCTGGTAGGATGTTTCTCTTATCCCCTAAAGGAAATACCTGGATTGCATAACTTTTAGCAGTAGCAAATGTTGCAGACATGGAAAGGCAAATGAAGGGCTATCGGGGGGAAAATCAGAAAGAATGTATTTGTCTGTGGAAGCCAGTTTTGCTTTTTACATGGAAAAAGAGAAGGGTGGGCGTGCACGTGTGCGCGCGTGCGTGCATGTAGGGAGGCAGTGGGGAGTATTTGGTTTGGTCTGTTCCCTGACTTGGTTTTGGTCCTTGACTTCTGAAGATCTGTGAGATTTTTAAATATACGAAATGTAGTGAAGCAGTTCAAATAACATGCTGTTAGCGGAGAACTCCTGAAGTCTACGGTTTTGCAGTTGGTAACGTGAGCAGCAGCTTGGCTGCTTTCTGTGTAGTTCCACATATCTTTACAAACTCTGGAGAAACGTGGTTCAGGATAAAATGGTGATGTGACATTTAGCATGAGACAGTCTCCTTAATTACTTTTTTTTTTAATATTGAAAACTTTACTTGTTTAAATTACTGTGGACGTGCATACCTGAATACAGGGCTATAATGTGTCATTAAAAGAAGTAGCAAAACCCCACAAAGCAGGTACTCGAGAGCCACAACATCAGCAAATCCCTTACTGTCGAGGTATTTTTTACCGTGTGTTCCTCATACGAGAACTTGTTTCCCTAGCGAACCCAGTAGGTGGCAGCAACTGTTTGTTCAACGTGGTTCAAACGGTATTTCAGAATGCTTCTCTGAAAACAGAGAAACTTTTTTGCATTGAGCTTGTGTTTAATCTTGAATCAGTGCTAAGGAGAGAAAAGAGCAAAAACTCGAGAGTATCAGAAGCCTGGATTCTGAATCTTGGAAAAGGCAAGCAGGACAACTACAAAATATTCAGGATATCAAGGGTAAAAAAGGAAAACTGACTTTTATTATTTTTGATTAAAGGTTAATTTTGAGGTCTCTCTTTCAAGATTGTCTTTTGCTGTGTAGCGAGATTCCAGGTTACCTGAGGAAAAGGCGCATCATCCTGTATGTGGGTGAAGCAAATCTTGCATCTTGGAAACTTCTGTGAAGAGAATTACTTGTATGCTGAGCCTTTAATGAGATGAAAGGGGCAAATATTTTGACACTTTGTGCCCCACGTGAATAAGAGGGGAGATAAGCTCGTTAACTTCTGTTTTTCCTTTGCAGAAGGGGTGTGTGGGGGAAGGAGCATCTGCTGCTGCCTTTTGGGGTAACTGGGAAATAGCTGAGTTTAGGTTCTGTGAACAGAAAGTAGGAAACAGCAAGAACAAGTTAAATGGCTTCAATGCTTGCAGTAACAGCACCAGAATTCCAGCTCCAGAATGAATTATCTAAAGCGGCTGCGTAAAAAGCTTTCCCATTTCTTCACCACCTTTCCCAGTTCTGAGAACCGGATCTCCCCAGGGAGAGAGGCCAGCTCAGGCACGCACTGTGCCTAAGACTGCAGTCTCTTTTTGTTCATTATTTTAATGCAGGCCAGAAGCTTGATGTTTTCACCGTTCAAATTCCTGTATAGTTAAACTCTTAAACTAAGATTATGGATACGTTTGGAACTGGAACAGAACTTTTCCTATACTTTTCCAATACAGAAGTGCTAGCAACGTCTGTCATCTCAGTAGCTTCACTCTTGACAGTTGTCAAGATTGCGCTTGGTTGTTTTGTTCTTAACTGAGTCCGTTCTTAAGGCTTTTGTTGGCATAGTTATTTCAGCTAGGGATTACATGACGTGTAGTAATTTTTGACAAATCTATGTAAACAATGAAGCATAGGCAAATGAAATGAGATGATGTCTTCTCCCATATTGTGCATCTTTTTTTTTATTTTTTTATTTTTCTCACTCCCTTTGAATAGAGAAGGTTCATGCAGAAATTGAAGCAGTTCTAGGACGTGACAGAGTTCCCTCTCTTACCCACAAGGCTCAAATGCCCTTCACAGAGGCAACCATTATGGAAGTGCAGAGAATGACTGCGGTTGTTCCCCTTTCTATTCCTCGAATGGCCTCAGAAACTGCTGGTAAGCATTTGTAGAGACTTGTTAATACAGCGTTTCTTTTGTGGATGAAGATCTGATGGGATATCTAGTGAGAATTTACAAAGACCTCATTTACGTATTAGACATGTAATCCAAGTATAAAATGCCATTTATAGAGAGTAGGTGGGCTTGAGATACTCCTCTATTTAAGCAGCATGTCTGATCTAACATCCAGCAGTTTTCTAATTTAGAGCGATTTCTTTTCTGGGGGTCAGCTTGTGTTGACTGATGTGCTTAGTGGTAGTTGGCAGCTGAGACTCCACCTTTGTACCTGAAACAGCAGAGTTGGTTTTGGCCATCTGACACAGAGGTCTGAAAACATCAATTCAGAGCAATTGGTTTGCTAAAGCTTGAAAGGCTTATACCATTGAGCTCCGCATCTACAGAAAACAATAATAAATATCCTTTTTGAAGTCATCTTGTTGGCTATATGTTTTCATAAACATAGCTGAACACTGGCTAAAGTGAGTGGGAGGTAGCAATACTTGGTTTTCTAACCCAGTACTGAATTGATCTGCTTTTTTAAGTGTTTTGGCTTGCAGGACAGTGAGGTGCAACAAGCTGAAATGAGACTAGTCAGTTCAAGCCCCTTTGGTGATAACAGTTCAAAACTCATCCCTCTTCCTTACCTCCACCTTCACTGTGGTGGGGCTCTGTGACAGCACAGGAACAGGAGGAAACCGGGTCACAGCACTTGCATGCAGCAGAGTGCATTTCTAACGATTGCTGCTGCCTTTTCCCCGCAGGGAGCTATTGGTGTAACTTCTTGTCTTTCCAGCTGCTCTGGCCTGCGTGATTCTGACCCAGGCAAGCTAGCAGAGATCACCTTTGCCTTAAGCTCCTGCTACGTTTGCAGCCCGCAGCTAGGGATCTGTATCATTTTTGTGACATCTTCTAGTCATCTTTTTAATAAGTCTCCCGTGTTTACTTCTAGCAGCTTGTCAGATCCTCTGTCTCTGTGCTTTTGTTTAAAGTGCTGCAGGGATATACTATTCCGAAGGGCAGTGTGATCGTGCCCAACTTGTGGTCAGTACACAGAGATCCTGATGTTTGGGAGAAACCAGATGAATTTCAACCATCAAGATTTCTGGACGAAAATGGCCAGCTCATTAAGAAAGAGGCATTCATTCCTTTTGGAATGGGTAAGCTATCCACATGCAGTCAGTAGCTGGTCGGGGATGGTGGTGGTGTGTCAAGTGTAGGGCCTTGGAGGCGTGAGATGTTGCATATGGGACCAACTACAGAATTTGTTTTACTATTACAGGTGGTGGCTTGCAAAATGGGTTGGGGTCCTAAAAGTTGCCAGGCAGAAATGAGAAGTGATGAATTGTTCTTTGATAATACTTTTGCGATGGATGTAAATGCTGTGAAGCGTTTACTGCTATGAAGCAGTACAGCTGAGCAAGGCTTAGACTCAAATGCAGGAGACATAAACTTCAGAGTTCATAGCTTCATAGTAGCTTGAGCCTTTCTGTGTTTGGACTATGCTAGCATAGGAATTGCATGTATGTTAACAAATGGATCAACAGTATAAAAACAGTAATATGTCTCTTCTAACTGTTCTTTAGGTAAACGTGTGTGCATGGGAGAGCAGTTGGCAAAAATGGAGCTGTTCTTAATTTTTGCAAGTCTAATGCAAAGTTTTACCTTTTTGTATCCTGAAAATGCTGCAAAACCATCTATGGAGGGAAGGTTTGGTCTAACTTTAGCTCCATGTCCATTCAATATAATAGCTTTGAAGAAATGATATAACATCAAAAAAGATTAAACAAAGAAATACTGCACTTTTAAAATCCAGCTTTATTTTGTTTCCAGCTTATTTTGTTACTTTCTTTCCAGAAAAACACCAACTGCATAGGCTTTCATATTCAGTGAGAATGATCCGTTTACACTTCTGGAAGGAGAAGATTTTTTTGTCAGCTGTTGCATTCCACAAATGAACTGACAGCATAGTTTGCAATGTGATATTACAACTTGCTGGGCTTAACCCCTCTGTCTATAAGCTATTACTGTCAGTTTGTCAATTATTAATTATGGGAGAATGGTCCAAAACATCCATTAGTGCTTTAGCAAATAGTAATTGTTATTTTGGTAAAAGCAGTACGTAAACATTTAATTTACCAAATGAGTGGAGGACATCATCTAAAACGAAAAGGATTAATGAACGAGAGGGTGTTAGCATTTTCTGTGTAAAGAGACATTATAACTGAGCTTAGATAATGACAAATACTTTTTGGAAATGACTAAATGACACTTCTTTTAACCTTGGAGGATTCTTTCTTGCAAGTAACTCATAGATGTAGATTGGATCGAATTGGTCTGGATTCCTGGATCCAAACATTCTTGACTGTCAGGGCTCACCATAAACAAGTAGGTACCAACTCTGAAAACCCAGGCTTGGAGGCCAAATGAATCCTTGAATATACCATGTTCTTAACATGAAAGGAGTGTGCAGCGTCTGGATGCAGATGTTTTATCTCAGAATATAAATGAGAGCAGACTTCTCTAACAAGAAACAGAAGTCTGTTCTCTCTGGTGCCAAGCAGATATTCAAGACATCTGTGCTGCCACTTCACATTTGCTGTTTTCCCCACGTCAGCAGTGGCTGCAGCCTGGACAAGACCAACAGCCCGCTCATCGGGGAGAACTCTACGTGCATGATCCTGAAGTTGGTGCTTGCACTCAGGTTTTTCATTTAACAGGCAGCATTGACAGTACTGCCACAACCTGTTTGGCTTTGGGAACTGGAGTCTTACTTCAAATATGGCATCAATACGGCACTACAGATGCAGCTCTTACACATTTAGGCATGGAACATGAGGAATCTGGCAAACTTGAGGTTTGAGTATAAAGGCTTTCTTTTTGTTATCTTCCATATGGAGTAAAAAGATCTGTAGTTCATACAATATTAGTGTATCAATACCTTACTCTTTTCACATGCAAAATTTTAGGGCTGTTTACCACTATCAAACCAATTGCCAAGGAAACCTGTTGGTAGGTGTTTGGGAAGGGGCACTCACAGTCTTGCCTTTCGTTTGAAAGATCTCTCAAACATCGAAAGTGATCTTTTGGGGGACATGTAACAATTAACCTTTAAATAATTGTTCTTAATCATCTTTATACACCTTTTGATCTAGTGGAACTTCATATCAGATGAAATAAGTACATGAAATAAGG